TTAAAAAAAAAATTCCCACTTAGGAGACAGAAGAAGCAACATAAAAATTAAATCCATGTTACGGGGTCAAAACTATAGCCATTAAAAATGTTTTTCTTGTACCTAATAGTACTTATTCTAAAGAGGGACAAAATAATTATAGGTTCATTCATTTTGTGTGTGTTTTTTCCCTCACCTTGGTTGTCTTTTGCAGATTACATCTCGTCTAGCAGATGTGTTCAACCAAAGGTGTGAAGTGAACCGAAGGGCTTCTGTGAGTGGCTGTGTCATTGACACCTGTGGCTGGGTCAAGGGCTCCAGTTACCAGGCCCTGGTGCATGCAGCTTCAGCCTTTGAGGTAGATGTGGTTGTGGTTCTGGATCAAGAACGACTTCACAATGAACTGAAACGGGACTTGCCCCACTTTGTGTGTACTGTGCTGCTCCCTAAATCAGGGGGTGTGGTGGAGCGCTCCAAGGATTTCCGGCGGGAATGTAGGGATAAGCGTATCCGTGAGTATTTCTATGGATTCCGGGGCTGTTTTTATCCCCATGCCTTCAATGTCAAATTTTCAGATGTGAAAATCTACAAAGTTGGGGCACCCACCATTCCAGACTCCTGTTTGCCTTTGGGCATGTCTCAGGAGGACAATCAGCTGAAGCTAGTACCTGTCACCCCTGGCCGAGATATGGTGCACCACCTCCTGAGTGTCTGCACCGCTGAGGGCACGGAGGAGAACCTCTCTGAGACCAGTGTGGCCTTCATCATCGTGGTGACCAGTGTGGACCTGGAGCATCAAGTGTTTACTGTTCTCTCTCCAGCCCCCCATCCACTGCCTAAGAACTTCCTTCTCATCATGGATATCCGGTTCATGGATCTTAAATAGAGATCAGGGAGTCTTGCTGCCTGGGGCATGGAGATCTGTGGCCATCACAGAGACAGATGGGCTGAAGAGGGAGAGTCTTTTGAGGCCAGGCTGACCAGTAAATGGTGGACTAGTAAAAAGCATATATTCTACCTCTTAAAACAGGTGGTGGTAACTTAACTACTAATCTTGAGCCAAAAGGAAAACCATGAGACTATGATTGGTTTCTTAGATCACCTAAGGTGCCACTTCAAATTCTCTAAGGCCCTGGAGAATCCCATTTCTTTAACCAGGTACTGTGTGGACTCATTTTTTAAAAAAATCACTGCTTTGTAGGCTATCTATAGTACCTGTTACCTTATTTTTCCAGGATGTACGAGTGTATTAGAAGGACTCTTTACAATAAAATTCAAACTTGGAAAAAAAAATATAAATCTTTGTTTTACTATGGTTGCAAATATCAAAACATTTCTATATGTGACATGGCACCAGAGTTAAGTTAGGGTTTTTCAAAATGTTGACACTCCAAGCTCAAAAGGTTCGCCATCACTGATATAGGCCTAACCAATGGATACAGACAAGAGGGGGGTGAGGGCATGAGTGGGGGGGATGGGGGGGTAATGTGGGGATAAGGACACATATGTAATAATCAATAAAAAAATTAAAATAAAATAAAAACTTACCATCTCTTAAATAGTGTTATTATTTATTTGGTTACTTATTCATTGTTTCTTCACTTCACCAACATCTATCCTCAGGATCTAGAACAACAACTTTCACATAATATGTACTCAACAAATAGTAGTTGAATGAAGGAACAAAGTCCTGCAACAGCCTCCAGTGACTTCTAAACCTTTTTTTACCTTGACCTACAGGAAGAAAAACATTTTGCACTGTGATCCAGTAAAGACTCACCCTCATGCCCTTGCCCTAACCGGTTTGGCTCAGTGGATAGAGCGTCGGCCTGCGAACTCAAGGGTTCCAGGTTCGATTCCGGTCAAGGGCATGTACCTTGGTTGCGAGCACATCCCCAGTAGGGGGTGTGCAGGAGGCAGCTGATCGGTGTTTCTCTCTCATTGATGTTTCTAACTCTCTATACCTCTCCCTTCCTCTCTGTAAAAAATCAATAAAAATATATTTAAAAAAAAAAAGACTCACCCTCATGAATGTATATATCTATAATTAAAAATATTTCCAGCTGGCATGGCTCAGTGGTTGAGAGTCAACCTATGAACCAGGAGGTCAAGGTTCAATTCCCGGTTGCGAGCTCAGTCCCTAGTGGGGGCCATGCAGGAGGCAGCCTATCAGTGATTCTCTCTCATCATTGATGTTTCTCTCTCTCTCCTTCTCCCTCCTCTCTGAAATCAATAAAAAAACATATTTTAAAAAAGTATTATTATGTGTGGTGCTGTCTGATTATGTGTGAAGTTGCCCAATATTATTTATTATATCCTATTATGTTTCATTAAAAAAAACCTCTGCCATTTAAGTAAACTTTAAATTTGATTTGAGCATCTACTAATGGAACTTAACCAGAAGTTTGACAAACACTGCCCTAATGCATCCTCCACAACCAGAGTGTTCTTACTAACTCAGAAGTCTTGTCATGTTACTTCCCTGCAAAAAATCCTTCAATGGCAATCTGTTAGTCTCAGGCAGTTTTTCCCAAACATCGGTAATTTATGGCTGTTCATGTACCAGCTATAATATAATATATTCAATTTTTGTTTGTAAATTGAAACACTTTTGTCACTCAGGCTCATCTTAAGCAATAATGTAAGAGAAGTAATATGTTAGACGCATGAATTATATATTTTTCTAGTGCGTATTAAATCCATTCACTACCCAAAAAAAACCACTGGACTGTGTGCCATCTAAAATCCTCTTGTTTATCACTGGGCCACACTTTTGGGGAAACCTGCTCTCAGGATAAAGGTCAGATGCCTCAGCTTAGCCCACGAGGCACTCTGAAGCTTGCTGGTGCTTTCCACCGCAGTCTCATTTTCTTTTACCACTTCCTGCATTCATTCATTCTGAATGACTGGCAGGTCCCTGAATGCGCCAAGCTCTCTTTGGCTCTAGGACTCTGTACTGCCACCTCCTTCCTCTGCCTAGAGCTCCACCAGAACCCCCACTCACCCCCTTTCAGGTCTCAGCTAAAATGTCGCCTTGGGAAAGCAGTCCTGGCCGCGGGGCTGGGCTGGGTGTCCCCCAGGACCCTATGCTTAGCCCTGTCTGGGAGTGTGTCCCCCTGAAGTGAAGCAGTTTCTTCACCATGTTTCACTTCAGCTGAAGGCTGAGCTCCTCTCGGGGAGGAAGAGTATTTTATTTTCCATAGTATGTCTAGTATTTGGAACAGCACCATAAATTTAATAGCGATCTGGTTGAGGAACAAAAGGAGACCTGTATGGATTTCTCAAGGAAATGAATATTGCTGACACTCAGCATGTTGTCTGAAACATACTAGGCATTCAAAAATGTTGTTAAGTGATTGAAAGAAGTGAGGGCTGATGCTCACCCTGGGAACATTACTTTCAAAAAAATTATTTGAGAGATGGTCTCAAATTCTAATGTCTTTGCTCAATGTGACATTATTCTCTCCTTCTTGCCCAGGAAGAGGTCAGAAATGAGGTCAGAATGTGTGTCTGTGGCCTAAGAGACTTTTGGTCCCTTGATAAACAAGCCTGCGTAGCAGAGGACCGGTCTGTTGGGAAAGCCACAGCACCACGGGGAGAAGTAGCTATAAAGTAAATAGCAAATGTTTGACTTGATCTTAAAATCCATGCTTCATACACGGGTTCAGCACATTTAATGTTATTTTACTATAAATTCAGAATTTGATGCCATTATTCCTCTTTGCTGAGATTCTAGAATATAGCCTATGTGATTTTTAAGACTGATGGTAATAATTTTTCTTAGAATGTGTGCCATAGGGATATATGATAAAGGTTTTTACAGTAACTAAATTGTACTCCAAGACTTTTATTTTTCTTTTCGGTTCAGCACATTTAATGTTATTTTACTATAAATTCAGAATTTGATGCCATTATTCCTCTTTGCTGAGATTCTAGAATATAGCCTATGTGATTTTTAAGACTGATGGTAATAATTTTTCTTAGAATGTGTGCCATAGGGATATATGATAAAGGTTTTTACAGTAACTAAATTGTACTCCAAGACTTTTATTTTTTTTTCTGTTAGCTCTACTATCTGGCACCTTGGGGAATGGGGCATTTGGTATACATGGAGTCTCCAAATAACTGATGTTTAATGTTGTCAGCACCAAACCATTATAAAACAAAAGATATGGACACTTTCCCAATATGCCGTATACTTCCCTGGCTTTTCAAACAAATGCCCCAAATATTAACTGCTGCGTGCTGACTCGGGGCTCTCCCTATGGAATCAGTTATTTGGATGTCATATCTGTTCATGCCAGAGGTCTGCGGAGCACTCATGCAGACTCAGATGCCATGGGGCCTCAGGCTAAGTGGGTGATGACTTCAGCTGTGACATTGAAATTCATTTTTTTGGCAAACAAAACCAAACCCCAAATCAGCTGATTTCTAAGTCCCCCCTCCCCTTTTTTTCCTTGGGTGGAGTAGATGATGTGTATTGGTTCTTCATTTTTATAATCAGCATGGAAGACTTATTCACAATTATAAAACAGATTCCTCCTCCCACCCCCACCCTTTTCGTAAGGGAAGAATGAAGCTTACTAGTATGTAGCCATATAATTTTTTTTCGGAAAAGTATAAAATAATTGTCTTTATGAAATGTCAGTGAAAGAAAAGGTAAAACAGCCTTTTCCCACCAGACAACCATCTACTCTTCGTTTCATTCGATATCACTACTATAGATCACTTCCACCTACTTTTCAGTTTGCATTTGCTCTTCAGCCTTACTTGTTCAGAGTTTTTCATGGGGCATGAGGATTATTTTACAATCATTTCAAGATGTGTGTGTGTGTGTGTGTGTGTGTGTGTGTGTGAAAGGACTAGCTGCAATGAATATAATGAACAGCATAAACCAGTGGTCGGCAAACTCATTAGTCAACAGAGCCAAATATCAACAGTACAACGATTGAAATTTCTTTTGAGAGCCAAATTTTTTAAACTTAAACTATATAGGTAGGTACATTGTTATTAACTTAATTAATAATTTTGGATTGAGTGCTTAGTATTAACAACATGAGTTCAATACACTAATATATTTATGGAATGCCTATTATGTATCTAAGGCTGGAGATAACATGACATCCTTCAGGAACTTACATTCTAGTGAGGAAGATCAACTTTAAATAAATAAATAGTCACATCAAATAATTGCAGTTGTCATGAGTGCTAAGCAAGGAAATAAACAGTAAGCAAGAGAAGTTATTTAGCAAGGTTAGGCATTTAAACCCCTCTAAGCAGATAAGTTTCATTTTATAATAATAAAGCCACCAACACAAAATAATTACAATTCTTAAATTGATGACAAAAATACCTGTAGGATTTGCAGCTGGTTGGAAAAATACAGGTAACTTTATGCTTCGAGTAGGTAGTTTTGTCACCCACGCGCAATTTGCGGACATGACTAGCACTAACCACTGCACAATGAGACTGCTGACTGACTGGCTCACTCAACTCGTGTATGAATCACGCGTGGCTTATCCCGCAGCCCACCTGCGCCGCGTCTCTCCTGTCACCCCTCCTGTCACTGGACCGACCGACCCACACCCCCCACTTCCGAACCACTTCTTCAAAATAGACTCGCCCAGGCGGAAAAACGACTTTTGCGCATGGGCCACGAAGTTTCAATCACACTGTACGTGCGCGCCCGCACGTGGTATTTTGTGGAAGAGCCACACTCAAGTGGCCAAAGAGCCACATGTGGCTCGCGAGCCGCGGTTTGCCGACCACTGTTCTAAACCATAGTTATCTCAGAGCTGATGAACCCAGTGCAAGCCAGTACCTTTTTACCTCTTCTGTTGTTTTGCACGTGGGCTTTAGTAAATGTTTATTCTGAACATTGGAAGGTAGGAAACTGACTCCTTTGTGTTGGTTTCCATAATTGTTTAGCAACAGGGTAGTTTTAACATTCCCTGGTAAGCCCAGAATTCTAACATGCTTTTAAATTTAAATTTTAAAAAGATAGTACAAACAAGAAAGAAAACGTTCATCACTACATTGTATCACGTTATCTGGCAATAAGCAAATGTATAAAATCTTTAAAAGCTCTAGAATAATAAAAAGTTTCCAACTGCTATTCTATTTTATGAAAACTCACAGATTTAATATACTATAGTAGTTAACTTGTCTTCATTCTGCTTAAAGTTTGGGA